CGCCTTGCTGCCTTTACTATCTCCAGTCTGAATCTGCAGTTGCCATGCTACCCTGGGCTCTTCTGCTTCTCTGTTGAATGCTTCCCATATGTAGCTCCCCAGCTGGCCCCAGGAATGCATCACCAGGCCACAGTGTCCGTAAAGCGCCAACACCCATGAAGCGCCAGGAAGCATTTATTTGTCCAGCTGCCTTCTCTCCCAGTTCCCTGAACTGACCTTTTGCTTTTGTACCAAGCTACCGAAGCAGAACCACCTTGCTGCCTTGGTTCTCTTTTTTTAGACCCAGGTTCTCCAGTAAACCTTTCCTGCACGTGGCTCCCTGAGCCTTCAAAACACTCTGCTGTCTTGGGAAGGACAGAGCGGCATTCCAAAGGCTATACTATCTCAGGAAATGAATGAATGCTGGCTGGAGTCGGCTGGGACAGGCTGAGGCAGTTGGGGCTTCATGGAGCGTAGCAAGCAACCCCACAAGGCAGGATGCATAGCAGCCAAAGGGCAGAGATGGTGGGGAGATGGGCAGGTGAGAGGCAGTCCCTTACCTTTCTGAGGCTCAGGGCTTGGGGTGAAGAGGAAACAGCCTGGAATGGCTTAGATTGGGGTGGGTTCTAAATTTTTTTACTACCGGTTCTGTGGGCGTGGTTTATTTTTATGGGCGTGGCTTGTAGGTCATGTGACTGGGTGGGCGTGGCTAGCTGGTCATGTGACTGAGTGGCCATGGCTATTTGTATAGGGACTACTCAGAGAGCTGAAAAAAGTCATTTCTGACAGGTCCTCGCACTATTGACTGGTCCTCACACTTATGACCATCCTCACATTTATGCCGTGCAGCATTCTTAACAACCATGTCACTCATTTCACAACTGCTTCTCTTCACCATGGTGATAAGATAGGGCAAAAAACGTAAAATGTGAGGACAGTCGTAAATTTGAGGACTGGTCAAAAGTGCGAGGACCAGTCAAAAATAACTTTTTCAGCCCTCTGAGTAGTCCATATGCACAAAAGGACTACCCAGAGGGCTGAAAAAAGTGATTTCTGACAGGTCCTTGCACTTTTGACCAGAGATGCGCACCAGAGATACGCACGATACCAGACCTCCGGACTTTTCGTCGGGCCCTGAAAACACATCTATTTCATCTAGCCGGGCTGGCTTGATCCCATCCTTTCGGTTTTAATTTGTAATTGGTTTTAACTGGGTTGTTTTACATTGAGGGCCAAAATTATTTAATGTCTTTTAAACTGCTTTTAAATTTTATACGTTGTGTTTTATCTTGGCTGTTCACCGCCCTGAGTCCTGTTGGAGAAGGGCGGTATATAAATAAAATAAAATAAAATAAAATAAATAAATAAAATTTTGACCGGTCTTCGCACTTATGACTGGTCATCATTTATGCCCATTGTAGCATTCTTAACAACTATGTCACTCATTTCACAACTGCTTCTCTTCACCATGGTGACAAGATAGGGCAAAAACGTAAAATGTGAGGACAGTCGTAAGTTCGAGGACTGGTCAAAAATGCGAGGACCAGTCAAAAATAACTTTTTCAGCCCTCTGAGTAGTCCATATGCATAAAAGGATACAGCAATAGAGAGGGATGAAGGAAGGGAAGGGAAATTAGAGTAGGAGTGAGGGTAAGAGGGAGGAAGAGAGGAAGAGAAAGAAAGGAAGAAGAAGTAGGGAGGAGAAGAAGAGGGGGGGGAAGAGAAAGTAAGAAGGAAAGAAAAGAGAGGTGGTAGGTTTGAGGAGAAAGATTGCTGTACAATAAAAAAGATGAAAGGGAAGAAAACCAACCCCAAACAAATATAAAGATATTAAGATAAAGAATGAATTGTTAAACTTTAAAGAATAAAAGAGAACAAATATGAATAAATAGCAATAATTAGAAACACTCATACAAACATACAATGTATTTTCTTTGAACAGAGTATTTCGCCGGTTCACAAATTTAAACAGTGTTTAGTCATTTCAATTAAATTTACAATTTCTATATTTCCTTTTTGCCATATTTATTCCTCATCTATTTTTGTAAAAAACCAATATTACCCTTCATCCTCATCTCTAATCTTAATCAAATTCAATTTTTCCCTTCTATTCTATATTATACCCCTTCCCATTGTCATCTATTTTTATATCCATCCTCACATTGGTTAATTATGTAATATTACAGTTGTTTAATACAAATTCAACATTTTAATATAAATCAATTAGTTATATAACTATCTTTTTTGTATATTAATCAATATGAACATGAATATTCCAATTATTTCCATGCAGTCCAATTTCTTACAAATCAATTAATTATATTTACCAATAATAATAAAAAACCAAATAATTTCCCCCATATATTCCTCCAAACTACAACTTAACCATTTCTGCTTTCAACACAATATACAATTAATAGTATCTCAATTATTACAATTCCCTAGTTAAATAGAGCTTTTTTTGTGTGTGTTTTAAAATCTTGAACCCTCCTCTTTTGCCCTAAATTTCCCATTGTTTACAGTTTCGCACCTATCTTTTTTGGTGAGAAAAAAAGAAAAAAAAATCTCTCTCTGCCTCATTTTGTCACATTGCAGCAAAGACCCTGCTTTACTTTCAGTTTCGTTTTTTCAGCATAGCTAGAGGAAAAAAATCTGCTCCAGCACTCTGCAGCTAGCAACAGAGCCCTGCCCAAAACAGCTGAGAGCAAATCAGCTGAGAGTCGGGAGGCTGATCTAATCAACTTGTGCTAATTAACCTATGCTGAAGCTGTAAGGGGCTGTTTTTTCTATTTTTGCAGGCACCGGTCTACTCATTTGCTTTCTTTTAACACTGATCAGCTGTAGGGCTGCCCTTTGAAGGCCCGGGGCAAGAGTTTAAACAGTTTTTTTCCCTCTAGTCATCAGCTGGGACTCGGGAAGCAGCAATAGATTGAGAGTGGGGGGGGGTAAGCGAACCGCGACCGGGCCGGGAACCGGTTCGGAGGTGTGGCCAGCCAATCTTATTACCGATTCTCCGAACTATTAAAATTTGTTACTACTGGTTCTTGCGATCCGGTGTGAACCGGGAGCAACCCACCACTGGTACTCACTTAATGACCCACAATCAGAAGTGCCTGGATTGTCATTGTAAGTCAGTGCAGTCATGTGACATCTCGTTTTATGACTGCACTGACTTACAACAGCAGTCGTGCTCCCAATTGTGTTGTAAATTGAGGACTACCTGTACAGGCAAAGAATACAGAAGTTAACGTGCAATTAGCGGGTTGCAATGAGACTAAAACAATTAAGTCCTGTAATGTTAAATCTAACTCATCAAAACTTAACATATCACAGAACTCCTGTCTGGAGACTGAAGGTCAGAAGAGCCAATTAAAGGCTAGAGATACTTAAAACGTTTTAATCAGGGAGTTACAGGTGAAAATGACACTTTGGTACCACGAATTGGTGCTCTGTGCAAGAAGTGATTCTGATTGTGAGCTTTTCAGATGTTAGTAATTACCTTTTCTTGGACTATATAATGCAATTTTTTAGATTTAGGCTCATCACTGTCAACTGTAGAACTATCTACTTTGTTTAGTTCACGTTTGCCTGATTGGGCTGCTTGACTACCTTGTGCCAAATATTCACCTTGTGAAACAGGTTCTTGAAAGATGGTTTACACTTCCTCCTCTGCTGAGTATGTTTCTCCCCACTTTCTCCCCATTTAATAGTATACCTAGTTTAACAAAGAATACTGTCAGGGAGTTTATTTCCAGCTCACTATGGCATCCCTATCTTTGTCTTTGAGTGAAAATTAACCTGTGGTGGCATATCAAGGTCTGAAGCTCAGCGCTTTTCTGTCTGAGTCAAACACTGGTTCTGGGAAACCCAGATGGAAATTTGGCAGGACAGTTAAGGAGATGGGAGATCCTCTCCTTCCCATCTCAAGATGGGTCAGAGCTTAAAGACAGAAGAAAACAACCTTGGTCTCAGTGAAATCAAGAGAGCATTTGGTAGTTATGTATTTTAATTTATCACATTTAAATATCCTCCCAACAAAGTAAGCCTGAAGTTCAGAGCCTTTCCCTGTCCCTGTTACCACCTGCTGTGGAGCTTAACATCAATCTTATTTTAAATTTTTTTTTTTTTAATTTGATTTATATGCCGCCCTTCTCCGGAGACTCAGGGCGGCTTACAATGTGCTAAGCAATAGCCTTCATCCTTTTGTATATTTATACAAAGTCAGCTTATTGCCCCCACAACTGGGTCCTCAATTTACCTACCTTAGAAAGGATAGAAGGCTGAGTCAACCTTGAGCCTGGTGAGATTCGAACCTGCAGTAATTGCAGGCAGCTGGTCTTAATAACAGGGTGCTTTAGACCACTGTACTAGCAAGGCTCCTTGGTACTTTTGGGACTTAGCATTTGAAAGAACCCAGTGATATTCCAAACAAAAAAAACTTTTTGAGCAAATTTGAGCTAATCTGGGATTCAGAATATGGATAGATTGCCTCTCTCCTCTGCAGTCATATATTGCATTAAGGCACAATGTGGTTTGTTTTATGCTATCTTGCTTTAGTCTGCCGTGCCTCGTGGCGCGGCAGACTAAAGCACTGTTATTAACATCAGCGGCCTGTAATTACTGCAAGTTCAAATCTCACCAGGCTCAAGGTTGACTCAGCCTTCCATCCTTTCTAAGGTAGGTAAAATGAGGACCCAGATTGTGCGGGCAATAAGCTGACTTTGTATAAAAATATACAAAAGTATGAAGACTATTGCTTAACGCATTGTAAGCCGCCCTGAGTCTCCGGAGAAGGGCGGCATATAAATTAATTTTTTTTAAAAAAAATGTGTTGCATGAAACCAGTTATCGTAGTTTGTTAAACCAGTGTTCATGGTCTGCTGTAATGAATCTAGCCAGTGTTTCTTATTGAATAAATTATTTTTAACACATAATATCTTTAACGCATAGTATAATATGTAAATCCAATTTAACATCTTACCATAGGAAATTATGTCCTTATCTTTTCTTTGTTCCCATAGGTAGAAAAAGAAAAAGCTTCACTAGCTTCAGATCTGCAGGATCTCAAAAAACAGCTGACGAGGACTAAGGAGATCTTGGCCCAACAGCAGTTGTGCAACAGCCGTCAAGTAGATCAGCTTCCAGCCCCAGAGGCTAAGACTAGTGCTAATAACGGTGGAGATAGCCTGTCACCCAATAATAGGGAATGCTACCGTGAGGAGCTGGACAGGGCCCAACTGGCAGTCCGGCAGGAGAGAGAGGCAGCTGCCCACTTAGAAGCTGAGTTGAGAGTTGCTAGACGGATTACCAGAGAGTGTCAGTCACGGCTGGCTGAGACTCAGGAGGAGCTCCTTATTTTTTCTGAGGAGATGGCAGCTCTCTACCATCACATCTGTGCCTGCCACAACATAACCCCTCACCGTGTAGTATTGGACTATTACAGGGAGGGTCGTGGTGTTCAAAGTGTGTGCAGGAGGCATTCCTCCAGAAAACATATGTTCACAGAAATAGAGACAACTAGCAGTGGAGACAGATCACCAGCCAGTAGCCCTGGCTCCCCGTGTGGTTTGGAACCTGTTTATGTCACTAATCTGACAGAGATCTTGAAAGAACAGCTGGGACATCTGGAGGTGGCACTGTCCATTGCACATCAACAGAGCCCAATGGGGCACAGAGCTGAACTGGAACGTGATAAAGAAGTTCTGGTAGAAGAGGTGCTGAAACTGAAGTCCATGTTGAGCACAAAGCGTGAACAGGTTGCTACACTGCGCACAGTGCTTAAGGCGAACAAGCAGGTAAGTGCAGGAAGTCCTAGTTGCAGTACAGATCTGCCGTGGGCTAGCAGAATGGAAAGTGGTCCTGAGAGTCAGGTTTGGGAGCATCCAGTCCCATGCTCTTTAACATCTGTATGAAGCCACTGGGAGAAATCATCTGACAGACAGGTATGGCACTGAACATACCCAGCTTTACATGGCAAATTTAGGTTATAGGCCAGGGATTGGCAAACATTTTCTGTAAAGGGCAAGATCCCAATCCTTTTCCACCTCTGTAGGTACAGTTAGCAGTTCTGCAGACTAAAGTCTGTGCTAGCCATCGGACAAGGTTGATCTACGAAGGAGGCTGCCAAACCACATTGGCTGAGACCCTTAGCTAGTAGGCCATATGAAAACAGGCAGCAGGTTGGATTTGGCTCATGAGCTGTAGTTTGTCGACCCTTGCTCTAGGTCATCCCTTCATCCCCATCACTAAACATACAGGTAATCCTCAGTTTATGACCATTTATCTTATGACCACTCAAAGTTATGATGGCACTGAAAAAAGTGACTTAAAATTGATTCTCACATGACCATTGCACCATCACCACAGTCACATGGTCAAAATTTGGGTGCTTGGGAAGAGTTCCAGGTTCCAGAATCATGTGATCACCATTTGCAATCTTCCCAAGAGCTTCCAACAAGCAGTCAGTGGGGGAAGCCAAGTTTGTTTAATGGCTATGTGATCTGCTTAACAATTGCAGCAAAAAAGGTCATAAAATTGGCTATGATTTACTTAACTGCATCGTTTAGCAGAGGAAGTTCTGGTCCCAATTGTGGTCATAAGTCGAGGACTACCTATAATTCACCTGTTTTGGAAAGAGTTAAACTATTATAAAAAATAGCTCCCAAAACCTCTGCAACCAGTTTAATAAGTTCCATGGTCTATGGCAGGGCTGTCAAACTCCTGGCCCATGGGCCAGATGTGTCACACTGGCCATGCCCATGCCCGGTTTAGCGAAGGGGGGAAAAGTCCATATACCGTACGTGACGATGCAAGTTTGACACCCCTGGTCTATGGTATTGAAAACTGCTGAAAGATCCAGAAAGGCTGAGAGAAAAACACTATCCTCATCCAGTCCTGATATAAGGAATCCAGGAGAGCAAACAATACTGTTTCCATCCTATACCTGGTCTTAAACAGAAACTAAAAAGGTTACAGATAATCTAATGTTTCTTGGGTGCTACATAATTTGTCCACTACCACCATCTAAGCAACCTTCCCTTTTTGAAGGGAATTTTGCTCAAAAATTATCTAAGACCATTGAATCCAAGACTGGCCTTTTCAAAGAAGGATGCACCACAGCCTCTCTCAAGACTGTTGACAACTCCCTTTCCTATAAAAAGGAACTGACAGTCACACTCCAGAATCAGTGAGGATCCAAGCTACAAGTGGCAAAGTACTGTCTAGATAGCGCTCTATCCATTTCTCAGATTTTACAGGCCAAAAATGATCCCAGATGATTCAGCAAGTCAGAGTATTGGTCACCAACGAAGATTGCTCGTGAGGAATCAAAGGTTTGGTGAATATAAGTTATTATTTTTTTCAACAAAACACTATTGGTCACAATGGCCAAGCAGAACATGATAATGATTTCTCCAAAGGGGGATGTGTAACCTTAAGCAAGGCAGGTAGATGGTAGGCTACAAATGGAATATGAGAGCAGTGAAAAAGCTTAGCCTCTAGTGTGGGCCCAAACATGAGCACATACCCATGCTCATTTAGATTCGCTTTTCATCTTTTTCTACCGGTGCTCCAGGCATCATTTCTAGCTTTTCCTTTCCCTAAGAGCCTCCATCAACCATGGCACCAAACAAGATCAAACTCCAGGGAAAGACAGCTCAAATGACTTCAAATACTCATCTTGCCTCTTGTTCCCAGAAATACACCAAACTCCAGGGAGCTGCAAAAATCCTCTGGAAACAATTGGATCCATTGGGCAACTGATACAATAACCCCCGTTACATGGAGGTTTAGATCAGGGTATGATCAGACCATGGCAATAGGGTAATGGGAATCACAACTCCAGATTCCATGACATTTAGTCAGAAACAAACATGAGGTTCAAGGTGTGATCATCTAATGTGTCAAGCCAGGGATGTGTTGTCATCTTGTGAATTCTTGTGTGTTGTGTTGCTCCAAGTTTAATATTGTACATTAGCTGTCTTCGGATTTTAATTATTTTTGTATTGCAGATGTTTTTTCTTACTGGATGTTTTATATTTGTTTTTGTATTGTGATGATATAGAAATTTAATAAATAAAAACAGAAAAACTAGATCCTTATCTCTCATTATATTATGACTTTTAAAAGGTTTTGATACAAACCTTCCCTGATATTTTATGAAATAAATTTAAACAAAAGAACAATATAACTCCTCTAAAGGGCTAAATAAGGATCAAATGGAAGTCATCAGAAAACTAAAAGGAAAGAAGTTAAATGGGTTTATTCAGGAAAGTCACAATAAAGCTACGTCCATGGCTATAGGACGTAGGATGCTAGTTACAGTTTTGGGCCTTCAAATATTGATGCCATAAAAAGCATGTCAGTCTGTCCAGACCTTAAGAAAATGCATTCCTTAGCTTCCATCAGTTGTGTCAATACAATTTGGATGGTAATTATGATAATTGTGTATCTCCTTTTTTATTTGGAAGCTGTCTGCTGCATCTCCCAATATCTCCTCCCATCCTCTTGTGCTTGCTGAGCCCTTCTGTTGCATTTTACTGTTGAAATTCATGAGATCTTCCCATTTTCATATATACTAGGTTGTATCTGGAGTACAGACGTCTTTTCCTGCCTATTTTTAAAGCCAGCAAAAGCCAGAATGAATGCTTCCAAGCGTATAACTGTAGAAATGGGCAGTCAATTATTTTCTGGGAAAATAATTATGCAGATGTTGTCCAATCTGCTAATCTAGCAGCGCAGTTGCCCCTCAAGGAGTTATTAACAGACTGAGCTTCCCAGGAAAACTTCATACACCCATGGTTGGAGTGGCATTTGCAGGGTGATCTAGAAGATTTGGGGAAGCATTCAGCTTCTAGGTTTTCTATAAATGATGCAAATGAAGGAGGATATTTGTGTATCATGTGAATGTGTGCAACCTTTCTTTGCAGACAGCAGAGGCAGCCCTCTCAAATCTCAAAGGACAGTTCGAAGGTGAAAAGGTGCTGGTGTCAGAGACCATGATCAAGTTGCGTCATGAGCTCAAGGCCTTGAAGGAGGATGCTGCTACTTTCTCTTCCCTACGTGCCATGTTTGCTAGCAGGTTAGAAGCAGGGTCTGCTCAGGCAAGAAATGAGCCTGTTTTGGAGTAAAGAGTCAAATAGGATTGGATCAGTTCTTCCATAGCTACCATTGTTCTATAATGTAGTGCAAGGACAACACGGAACAGCCAGTAGCTTTGCTGGATTTCGTTCTTTATTGACTACGAAAACTCAGCACTGAATTTTGATGGTAAACTGCTGTGAAAGAATCTTTAGTTTCTGAATACAGGGTTAAGAGGAAAATTGAGAAACAAAACTAATGGTAGCATGTGTCCAAAACTAGTAATGAATTTTATATAAAGTTAATTTCAGAAATATTTTGGAAATGATTCATTTTTCTTAGGTTGCATCTTTTTATCTTTTCCAAATACTTTGTTTAATACTACAGTGAGATTAGCATTTTAAATATTTAAATATTTATTTTTGCCACTTATTTATTTAACATCAATGTGCATTTCTTTTCTGCTCTAGTGTGTTTTACCCAGGTTTTTTTCTGGCTATGCCTGTGCACTCCTTGATAGAGTACACAAGACTACCAAAAGCAACAAGGGCCATTTAAGCCTTTGAAATGGTACAGCAGAAGGAACTAGAGTATATACTTTAAAAATGCACAAGATACTGAGACATGAAAACATAAAAGATTACATAATCTGTTATGAGGAGCGGCCAACTTTTTAGCAGCCTTACCTTGAAAACCATGTTCTAGCTCTCTGGCTTCTGAAACTTTATCGAGCATGACATTTCTAAATATGCCTTTAAACTATTTTCTTCCTTGATATAAAACAATCTGAGATGTACCATATTTCAAATGAGATTTCATGCTGTTTCTGGCACTTGAAGGGCCACTGGATATTAGCCTTGCAAGGAATCGTTTCTCAACATATACCTGAACCTATTGCCTTCATTTTCTGTCCCCAGGTGTGATCAGTATGTGAGCCAACTAGACGAGATGCAACGGCAACTGGAAGCTGCAGAGGATGAAAAGAAGACTCTAAATTCCTTGTTGCGCATGGCGATCCAGCAGAAGCTGGCACTCACACATCGACTGGAGGCTCTTGAACACCCAGTGGAAGACTTGCGGAGCAATAGGAGGATACTCAGAGCAGCAAAGAGTAGTGCGGTAAGAATAAAAGGGACAACTGAGAGATGATGGAGGAACAAAAATCACCCAATACTTAAGTTTGCAATAGATGTAACACGATTCACCTGGACAGGCTGTAATGGACAGCGTTCCACAGCCCTACATACTCATCTCTCTTTTTTGTTCTTGAATGTAGTATGTAGGTCTGTGGCGCCAGGCAATTTTGTGTAGAGTTGAGCTGAGCTGTGTTCATACCAAATCTAATTTGCAAATCTGCTTCTATGCACACTTTCTGTTCATTAGTTAAATGTACAAATATCAACAGACTTAAATGCCTAAATTTTAGTGGACTGTAGCAATCTCATTATTTTGCAGAAATAGGAGCTATGGGCAAATTATAAAAATTATGACCCTGGGAGGAGCAGATGCAAATTGTTATTGTAGATGAAGCCACTCAGCAAAGCACAAAAATTATTTTGTCTGCGTGCTTGAGCATTTCTGAAATGCTACTTATTTTTTAACAAAATATTTCCCACAAGCAAAAGATGATGTTTTTAAGAAATAAAAGGCACACAGGATTTATAAGAATCTGGGGCAGTCAAGTAGTCATAAGCATAAGTGTACCATAAGTACAGTGACCATATTTTCTTGGAAAAAATAAAGGACAAATCTGAAAAAAGGTCAAATCTGAGAGAGGTCGTAAAGATTTTTTAAGATGTGTTTATTTTTTAAAAAAGGGAGTAAAATTATATTTTTTATAATAATTTCATTATCAGCACATTTTTCTGTTATCACTAGGATATTGATTAGCTGAGCAGTTCTTATGTCACAGAATTCATGACAATATATACAAGAGCCAAATTTGTATTGCTATCACAGGTTGGAGGACTGGGATGTTACAGATAAAAATGTTTCTTAAAACCAAAACTGCATGCACAGATAAAACTGCAGCTGCATGTTCAAGAATTGGTCACATGGTCTTAAGCAAGCCTCCACATCTAACCTTAATATAGGATACTAATCTTGGCCTATTTAAATGTTAAATAAATGTCACGCAATATGATAATTAAATCCATGCCATGATCAGCATAAAACTCTAGAAAATTGATGAGATTATATGGATCCTCCTGATCTTTTTTTCTTCTCCCCAATTCTTCTCCTCCTTTCAGAGATGAGAGTAATGGGATTCGGTACAGGATTTCTTGGTTATTCGGGATGCTCTGTGACGACAGGACTGCAATTCTCTTGCGTAACCAAAAACAGTCAGTACCAGCAACCTGCAGCCACTCAGGAAGGAAACTGGATAAGGAGACTCTAGCCCGAACATATGTCTTAATTCCCCCCTCTTCCTCCTTTTCCTTACTGCCTTAAGAAATCCCAAAGATATACTTTTTCTCTAAATATTTCTCTAGAACCGTTTTGTAAAGCACCTGCAATACCTTTTTAAAGCTCTGCTCCAATAACAGTACTGTCAACCTTGAATAAGGCTACACATTTAGTGTTAACTGGTTGAAAGAAATTGTGCAGGGATTGCTTTTTTCACTACCCCGTATTTCCTTCCCCCCCCCATTGACCCACCATTTATTCTGCTTATTTGTTTGCCACAGGTTTTACAGGTAATTTGAAACAGGTGTGCAATTAATGGACAGGTAACAATGAGATGTGTTGTCAGATGAAGATATACCTGGAAGAAATTCTGCAGCTTGCAGCTAGGCAAGCCCCTGGTTTCCCTTAAATAAATTATGTCCCCTGGTTTCTAATCTCTTTTTAACTAAAATCCAGGAAATAAACATTACATTGCATAACATAAGGAATATCAAAACACTTTATAGTTCTAAATAGACATATGTATTTAACATACCAAAAAAGATTATCCTTCTTTACAGTTGCCCTGTAATTCTATCCCAAGATAGTCTGAAGCCTTTTGCAGAGTCTTATCACCTGATCTTTGACATTTTTTGTGCCTTTTCATCATTTGTTAATTCTATTCTTGATATATTTCCATTGTTCTAAAAACACCTACCCATCTCTGATAGTTTCATAATATATTTTTTCTCCCTCCCATTTTTTACTGACATAATGTGTATGGTATTTAAAGGGGAAGAGTGTTACTGAAATGAATGGGGGTCTATATTTCCTGAAATATTTTCTTATTTTTTTCTGATCACAATGAACCAGAAATAGATAGTATTTATTTTTTGCAATATCTGAATGTCAGAAATGTCTCAGTAATATAGTTCAATTGGGAAAGTAATATACCGTAGAATGGTCAATCACTAGTTTCCTGGGCAGTTTTCTCTGTGCTAAGAAGATGCATATAATTACCCCTTCCCCCTTTGGCTTGGATGCAATTGTTTTTGAAAGCTATTTCAAGGATATTGTGCCAGGCACTGGAAGAAAGGCAGAGAAAGATATTTGAGGCTTTGTTTAATTATAATATTGCCAGAGAGAACAGCATTGTGTATGGTTGGGTGATGCCCCCTTCTGGTAAAAATTGATCAGTTGGGTAGTATAATATACTTATTTAAAGACGGGTTTTGATCCCTTCTTGACTATATACTTGATAACAAACATTGGTTTTATTGTTAAGTAATATTGTCTGAAATTTTCCTTCCCCTCTTAACTGAATGATATCTGGGAATTTGATAAAAGGAAGGGGGCTAAGAAATAAGAAAAAAAAATGACCATGCCTTTGGATTAAAAAAAATACAATGTTAATATATAAAGCTTATTTTGTGTTTCTCAATAAAGTCCCTGTAGAATAGTATGCCTTCATCCCTCAATATGCAATAATAAAAGTATGTATTTTTAAAACTTAAGATTTAAAAATTAATTTGCATTATCTATTTTAGCTACTGTAAAGAAGAGCTTTTCATTGTTCCCTATATCATTCAAAACACATTGTCAGCAGACAGGGGAAAGTTATGCTTGATTCAGAGAGACAGAAAGCCATGGCTACTTTTGTCACATACTGTTTAATGCAGGAATTTTCAAACTAGTTCATGATATCCTGGGGATTTGTGAGCAAATCTGGGAGGGGTTGCAAAGTTTTTTCACCATGCACAGGAAAAGCTGGAGCCTATCAGACTATACTCCTTCTCTGCCTAGGTAAGCTAGTTTATCCATTCATTATCTGGCTGATTGTTTTGTTGCCACAGTGGGGGCAGGCCCTGGACATCTAAGATCTTGAGCCTACCCTGCCTAGTACTAAGGACCCCACATTTTAAAAATTTATTTAAATTTATTGACTGCCCAACTCCAGTAGATGCTGGGCTTCGCACAAAACTAAAAAGACATTAAAACAGCTAAAGATATTAAATTACATTTAGATGGTGATCATGACAGTAGATATAGAAAAGAGCTGAGCAAGGCTATTTTGAACTTTATTCTACATTGATGCCCAAAAGGGGAGTACTGTATGAATCACAGATAGTCCAGGGTACTCAGCTGCTGCTCTGTTGATAGGGGAGGGAAAGAAAATGTGGCACTGGACAGGACAAACACAATTGGCTTGTCCAAGTAAAACCAGACCACGTTCTGACAGAACTCCAGTTTTGCATGTGAAGAACTAATAGTTTGTATAAAGAATTGGCTGGTGCAAAACCCCCCAATCTTTAGCTGCATTAGTTGTTGATACGCTTTTCTTTTTTCTCCTCATTTATAGGGGACTATATATACTGTATATTTATTCTGGGAAGTCATGGATATCACAAAGTTTAAAAACAACTGGCTTAGTAAAGTAGTCATTGACTACCAGCTGTGGAGAACTTGAACACTATCCATAAAGTCATAGCTAGTTTTAGTAAGGCCTATACACAAAGTTAGGGGAGGTAAGAGATGATCCTTTACTTCATTTAATGGGACTATGTGACAAATTTATGACCCTGAGCTCTGCCTTGGACTTGATCATTTTCCTCTTAAAAATAGCATTGATATGAAGCTGGGGCCATTTGGGTTAAAAATTTATGAACTATCATGTATATCTTCTAAAATTATTTATTCCTAAACTATAGTAGTTTTACTGAGCTATCCACACACAAATAAAGGAGGTATGTAAACAACTGCATGGTTCTACTCCCTCCATAAAGGGAAAATACTGTAGCTTAATGAATAAGTATATATGTTCTTGCCAATGCTGGCTGTTGCTGAAGATGTGCTGATGGCAAGAAGTTAGTCTCTGTCATTAACAGTGGCAATGCCATATCCTTTGCACTGGCAAAAGCAATCCAGAGAAGGTACATGTGGAACAATGTGACACAAATGAAGGACTGTATATGGAACTGTGTGATGCTTCCAAAAAAGGTGCGATGGAATGCAGAAAGATACAAAAGCACTTGCCTACCTTTAATGTTTATATCACGTGAAGGGAAGAGCATGTAGAATAGATAGAACTGAGTGAAGATACTTTTCTGGCTGAGGTGGTGCTCCTTCTGAAGTCAAAAGTGCAGAATATATGCATTAACTATGATAACTGAAAATGGGAAATTCCACTATCATCACTTAAGAGGAGTGAAAGGATTGGGCATAAAAAGTACTGCCCTTTCATGTCACCTAAAAACTAGGTTTTTGCCTCAGAGATCAAACCAATACTCCCATCCAACATTGATTCTGAGAAAGATGGTTTAGAGGATCATAAGAATTAAAATGTTGGTGTAACTTTACAAAATCTGCATACAGTAATGTTCAGATGGAGTAAGTACAATTCAAGGAAAGGATAAGGTAAAAATTATTGATGTCCAGTTTAGGTCTGGCTGAGTCACTCATCTTTTCAGTTCTACTTCCAATGTTGCACCTCATGTTTTTCTCTCAGATATCTTCATTGAAGTGACACTATGAGGAAACAGTACATAATTAGGCTTTCATTGATTCTTTCTCCAAGATTTCAAAGAGCAGTAGTGATAAACGGCTTTAGATGAGGCCCAAGAAAATTTAGAATTTGCTCCTCCTATCAATAAGAACAGTACAATTTGATTTCACTGCTTTTGTAATCTTTTGTCAGGGGAGGACAATCTTTTAGGTAAATAAAATAGTTTTATGACAAGTCCTGATAAATAATGAAAACTAGTTTAACCATAATCCGTTATAGTTTACTGTGCTGTGTGAATTCAGTAATTCACTCAACAAACCATGTCTTTAGCTTTCATAATACAGAAGAATGACTGAAAAATTATCTTGGCCTCTAATTTGAAAGAATAAGCCAAACCCTGGTTAAGGACAATTCTGACAACGGGACTGAAAGGAACTGTTGGGTCATTTTTCCAGCCACTTTTAGGGCAATGGTCGACAGTTCAGCAGTATGCCAGAGGAAAAATGAACAAAAGTCGCAGGAAGGATCTGGCTGCATTATACTGACCATCCTTTAGTTAATCCAATGTTATGGGTGAGCTATGAACTGGTCGCACAGGCTGACTGGATTCCTGGGCTAAAATACGGCTGGGTAGTTGTTTACTACTCAGATACGGCTACGGGGTTCCTGACCAAGCAGGAACAACCAAAGGAAGGGGAAACCCCAAGGTCTCCGCAACCACCATCCTCACCTTTCGCCGCTTTTCTTTACTATGTTTAAGACCCGACGCCTTAGACCGCGATCCCATACAATATATTCTTCTCCAGGAGAAAACGCCTCCCCTGAATCTCTGCTAATCGTTTTCCAATAGCCCAGCTGGGGTTAAGAGCGAGGAAAGACCGAATTCCAAGCAACGAGGACAAGCTGAGGCTACACTAGACAGAGGTGGGAGGTGGGGCAGCCCATCCGCGGCCACGGGCGTACGAGCGGGTCGGGGGCCTGGAGCTAGGCCCTTCCCTCTCGCGGGGCGGAGCGACCTCCCCCTGCCCAGCCTCTTGGCTGCCTTTTTCTTCCCCCGCGGAAGGTGGCTTCCCAGACGCTTCTTGCAGCATGGCTGGGGCCGCCGTGCGTGCCGGATGGTTCGTGCGCCTGGCGGCCCCCTCCGCTTCCTACTGCACTCGCTTCGGGACCGAATTACCCGCCGCAGCGGCGCAAGCCCCGCAACCTAGCCCACCCTATGGCAGCAGAAAGCCGCACGCACGGCGGGTCCCGGCAGACGAAGACCCGGCCGCCCGAGCTTTCTCGAGCGCTCCAGCTCCGGGGCCGGACAACAAGAGCTTTCTCTGGGCGCGCTACGGCGAGATGAAGCGGCTGGTGCAAGGTGGGTCTCCGAATAGAGCGAGACCTTTCCCCGCTTTTCTCTGCCCCCCTCCCCAGCGGGCCACGGAGCTTGTCGGTGAGGTAGAGCCCCTGCGGAGGTTGCTTTGGGAAACCGGGGAAGTCCTCCCGCCCAGAGGGGCTTTCCTTCGCCTCTCTTTCCGTCTCCCCCGCGGCAGGGCTGCTTCATTGTCCTCTTCGGTCTCCCAACCTTTGGTAACCCTTTTGCACAGGCTCCCGTTTCGGGGCGTTAACTTCCGAGATTTCTCCCTTCCTAAAGCTTTCAAAGGGGCGATTCGTCTCCGAAACGCCATCGGGAATACCTCGGTGATCCACGTATTCCGCTTCTCGTACTCCTGCGTGCCAAGTTGGATGCCAGACTTTGTGCGCACGCACCAGCTTGCACGTCGAAGATGTTTTTGGGTCGTTTCTTGAGCCCCCATTCCTTATTTTGTCGCTTCCCGCTTGATCAGACAGAGCTTTTTTGGGGGGGGGGGTTGTCTTCGTCGGAAGCTTTCTTCTCTCGCTCCCCTTAATCTGCTTTCGAGAATTGAACGCCGGCTAATTCGTCGCCCCTTTAAATGAGAACTTCGGCTTCTCCTGCACACCATTGTGATGAATCTGATTGCTTTCGCGTCGCTCCTCTCCTCCTCCTCCTCCTCCTCCATCTGTTTCTGGAATTCGTGGTCTGCTCCGGGGTCTGGTATTTTTTCCCCGGCATTCAAGCTGGGATATACCCCCTCCCTCCTTTCCCCCTAGCTGGCAAGGATGTGCTGGAGGTGGGAGGGAGTGATTTGTAGCAAGTTTATACAGTATTGCTTTGTGTCTGGTTCCTAGGGAGGATTTAGTGGGAAGAAGAGAATGACAACAGAGAATCCTATGGGGTGTTGAAGGTCAATTTTCTGTGATATGTTCCCACAATCTTACTTACATTGGTTTTTTTTCTTTTCTGCTGACTATATATAACATTTCATCCATCTAATATCTCCAGCTGATGGAGTGTTACAAGACTCTTGATATTAAGGAATTGATCCTTTATTTTCTAAGGTGCTTTAAGTGTCAGTTCTGGCTGCAACAGCTTTTCTTACTGCATCTAACCAATGACAACATATTTTTCTTGCTGCATCCAGTCAGGTTCCCTTGATCTCATCTAAAACCCACCAGAAATATATTTGTTCTGCTTTAAAGTAGTATTTTCTCACTCCAGTGCCATTTATTTTAAGAGTTTCAAAGTGCATGTACATTGTTCTGCAAACTGAAAGATGGGTGAGTAGTGCTTCAACTCAGTAGTAGAGAAAGCCCAGAAACTGCAATTTTAGTGGACTTTTCCACTGAGGTTAGCACTCTTTCAACAGACTAAAGTCTGCATGCAAAACAACAACAATTTGGAAGGGTATATGAAAGCACATTATCTTTGCTTTGCGAAAGCTGGTATGTCTAACCATCCTGTAAACCCAGGCCTGGAAAAGGAGATCCCACTTTTGTGGAAGGAAAGCCTCTTCTAAGATGATAGTTGCTAGACCTGGGTTTTGAAAGCATTTCTGTTATTTTATCTCTTTATCGTCTGTTGTCTGTTATCTAGAAGAGGGATATCCAACCTTGGCAACATTAAGACTTGTGGACCTTAGTTCCCAGAATACTCCAGCCAGCCATGATCTAAAAGTTTGGAATGTTCCCTCTGTGTAGTAATCCTAATCTCTACTAGAGCAAAGGAGATTCAGATTCCTATGTAAACAGTAGAGTTTGGCTTCAGCTGTTGGTTAGGGATTATTGAAGTTATGGTCCAAGTACATCTATCCAGATTAAGGAAAATTGCTCCAAGTGCTTTGAGAGTCTACTCTATCCAGAACACAAGTGGTCAACTTTTGAGGAGTGTTGGGGACTGCACTTAACCCTTAGAGTGGGTGGTGCAAAATATTTCAGTTAATAGGGCTGCATTATGCAAGGGACAATCTCTTCCATTCTTACTTGTTTTACCAAAATGTAGTTTTCTACTTTTTGGGGGTGAATAAAGTAGTAAGTCTATGTACTACTTTTTTCTGGATTTCCCACCTGACTGGTGATAAACAGCACTAATATGGTTGGGGCCACTGCCAAATTGCAGTGGCACAAAGGGCCTAGGATGGGAGTAAGGATTACTAAAAAGGTGTTTGAGAAATGTGTGATACTGAGATTATACTTGCTGTAGGTCAGCCCATGCTCTGTGAGGGTGCTGGATAGTTAATGCAACCAACAAAAGGAAAAAGAATACACTTATGTGCTCCATAGTTGTTGCATGATAGCTGTTATCATACCCAACACAACCTAAAGCTAGTGACACATGTTATGTATGATTCTGTATAAGGCACCATCTTAATGTTCCTAAGCCGTAAGAATTATCTACAAGGCTTGACACTTTTCAGTTCCTTTCTGATATAGCCATGCCATGAGGGAATCATATTAATGCTGGGTGTCGCAGCAGTGATTTTTTTTTTTTTTGAATTACTATGCAGTGAAAGAAAGTTGATTGGTTTTAGTTCTGTGTGATCAGATCAAAATATTTATTTTGGAAATCCACAATTATCCAAGTCTCTTCCTTATTTGCTGACTTCTTTCTTTCTGGCTGCTAACAAGTGTGCCACGTCTCACCCACTCTTTTCTCCTCCTTCTGCTCCCTCAGCATTGCATATGTATACAATATCTGCTTCCTTCCTACATATTGCCAGTTCTTTCCCAATATGCTGTGCCATCAACCGTCTGTATAGTATTGCATTGTCACTGCCTGACTGCCTGACCCAGAAATTTCTGATTTGTCGGGAAAAAGATCTTACTCATCCTAGGGGTTGTTTGGGGTTTTTGGTTTAACTGAAGAGACTTATTTTCAGAAAAATCTATTCCAGGGAGTAAAGCGGGAAGGATTGAGAAAAATTCCCCCTGGACTCTGAAATTAGCTGACTCATCAAATGGCAAATAGCAGCTTCTGTTATTAACGGGTCTGTTTGCATATGAAAAGCCAACCAGTTCAGATTTCCAGTTGCTGAATCACAAGACAACAGAAGCATCAAAATCTATGCTATGTTAGTAGTCTGGTGTCACTAATGATGTGTAGGTAGCTCATCCTTGAAAAATATAATTGCCTTGATAAATTAGACTAAAGTTGGATTCTGATTCCAGCAATGACTATCCGGTTTGGAGGAAGAAGCAAGAATTTTCAAGCAAGTTCTGAAGTGAGGGGAGGAGAATGTTCCAGGAAGGAAAAATAAAAGTTTAGGAGAAATAAGGAGACAAAGTCCAATATTAGGGAAACAAAGATTAATTCCTGTTCCATTAATCTTTTATATATTATGCCTGAGAACTAGTAGAGAAAATAATTTGAGCTAGATACCTGCTTTTTCTTCAAGCTGTCTCTGCCCCAATATCCAATATTCCAGGAGAAATGAGCCTATATGTGAATTTAAAATAAATAAAGCAACAAACATCAAAATTATTAATATCTTATATTAATAAATTGGCTATTGTCACTGAGACTTAGTAGTAGGTTTCTCCCAGCAAAAGATAATTCTGAATTATGTAAAGAAATAATTGTTGTTGTACTAAATTAAAAGTCTTTTTTATTTTCACTTTTTTATTCCCACCATTTAAAAAAGTCTTTTGTAGCTTTGATCATAAACAATTTTTCACAGGTTTTTAAAAGTTATGTGACCAGTTCTATACATAACTGTCTAAACCTGTTAGGCTACATATTCATGTCTTTTCATGTTTATTTTTAATCTGTTCCTTAATTCCCAAAGAAACAGAATTGCTTCCAAATAACTCCTTTTTATTGTTCTTGAAAATTGATAGATATTAATAATTTTGAACATTGATAGATATTAATAATTTTATTAATAATTATTATTTACAAGGGGAGTGCATTGATACTATTTTAGGAGGTCACAATTTCATATTACTGATTTACAGATAACTCAGATCTGTTAAAAAGCCATTGTGGTATTTCTACATATGCATGGAATCTGCTTGTTTTATTTACTTAGGAGAAGACCTGCTGCAATTGATGAAAGCCATATAATTTTGTATGTTTCAGAAAATGTAGCTGTGTACTAAAAACAGATTCAAGGATTATGATAAAGCCCTACAGCAGTGATGATTTCTGGCTATCGAATGTATCAAACAAATAAATTTCATAATAAATTATTGGAATGAGAAATGATTAGAAGGTGTATCTCTATATTAAATGCTAGCCTATTTTGTGGGAAAGCTAATTAGAAACATCCAATTTTCTTTCTGGTCATGACTTGATTTTATAAAAAACAAAGGAAAAACTGTTCTAATTTAACATATCTTTGCATCTTTTCTTGGCAACATTCTTTGCAGTAGAGAACTCATAGAGTGACTGCTGATTATTATATAGTCACAAAGGTGATATAAATGTGCTTGGGGATAAATAGGTAACTATAACCAACAAGGGCAGCATTTTTCAAAATTGATGGTTGAAGGCCACAAAGGCAGGGGCACAATTGTATCATTGAGCAGGTTCAAAATTTGTAGATTAATATTTGTTAAAATATAAGATATGCCTGTGTGCTGGCCTGAGTATTTTTAAAACTGAAGTTGACATGCCTGCCCTGGGGGGAACCATGAACTTTGCCATTTTAAATAAGAAAAACACATTATGTATACCCATTAAGACAAGCAACCAGTCTTACAAGAATTAAATATATTAATTAAAAACAAAATGTAGGTTGAGAAACACTGGAAGGGTAAACAAAGTTATATTTTGGACTAAAGCTCCATAAACTCAAGGTAGCATAGTAAGTGGCCAGGGATTATGGAAGTTATATAGTCCAAAATATCTAGAAGGACCCTGGGTGACTCTCTGAATTAGAATATTCCTGAAGTGTTTGGGGATAGACTTCTATTTACCACAACATAGTGTACCATGCAATATTGTTGTTTTTGTTGACCATTTTTCTACTTGGTGAAGGAGAGGACTTGAGATCACCCACACGTGCTCCAGACAGTTGCTCCTCCTTCTGTTGTCTGAGACAGCAGAATCTGGCAGCTTTAGAACTCTGGGAGACGAGGGAATAGCCATTTTGCTCAATCCACAGTTGGCACCTTTGAAAGAACACTAAGTTCACATACTTTTCTCTAATTACATTAAGAAATCATTGCTAACTGCTATTAAGAATCTTGGATCAACAGGTTTTATAGAACCAGGCAAGTTTCTTTCTTTCAGTCCTTAGCAAAACACATTTTAGTACAAGGTTAAGAATTTAAAACATATTTTTGAATAAATAGCAGAGGGGTGATTAAAACTTGGGTTTTACAATGTTAGAAATGGACTAAATAAATTTGAAATGAGATTTTGGAATTAATTATAAAGAAATGATTCCAAGGGAAAATGTTTTGAATTAAAAAACAGTATAAGATAATACTTTAAAAATTAGTCCCTAGAGGGAAATAGAAGAAACTAATGATTACAATTAAAGAATATTTACATTTGACTTACTGACATAGAATGGGGCAAAATACCTTAACATTGGACATATTGAAGCATATGTTTAAACTATTAGGGAGAAGCCTGAGTCACTTCCAAATGTTATCTGGTTGTGGATTTCAAATAGGTTTTACCCTTTTCACTTTGGCAATGGAACTTGTGTAATTTAGTCAAGATCATCTTCCTTATGTCCTATGAAGCCTTAACCAAACTGGCTTGTAGCAACCATATGCTATCATAGCTTGTCCTCCATGCTTTTCTTTCTTGATTTAGATTTGCTCCCACC